GAATAAAATAGACCACACTTGGTAAGATTATTTAAAATCCTGGAAAGTGCAGACAAAATCTAAGACTGACTTCATGACAAGTAAACAAGGTGATGAAAAGATGAAACAAGGATCTGTGGAGATAAGAGAATGTGTATTTAGGACTGAAAACAAGTGTCATTACTTTCAAAAAGAGATCATTCCTTTTGAGTAACGGATAGATTAGATTCTTTGGATAATCAAGCTTCAGCCAACTTAATAATAAAGAATGCCCTCCTCTCATTTTTGCTGATCTTATTTTGCTTTAATCTAATGAGGTACTGTGATACAGAATTTAAGTGAAACAAAGAAGATATCTGTCCTTGGATTTCATTGGCTTTTGTGGGTTTGTCTGTTCAGCAGTACCGTCAGTGGAACAGTTCGCTCTGCTGTCTTTACGTTAACATCATTAATATCTCTTAAGAGCATCAATGAAGAGCTTGTTTCAAATAAAACTCTCTGGAAAACTCAGTAAATCTTTGGAGAACTGATATTACTGTAAATTCTGTCTAATATTATCTGGAACAGACATGCTAAATCTTTAGTGTACAGTAATAGTAGCCTAATATCCTAAATATCAAGTTCATTTTAGTACTCTCCAGCTCCATTATTATCTTTCCATCCATAAACAACATTCCTACTTTTGTAACTGACAGCAGCATCGCCATCCTGTTGTCTGCTCTTGTCATTGTGGTTGGAGCTGATCAGTTCGTGGATGGGAAAATTCTTAAGGAAAATTGTTGCTGTAAAAATTGTTACTAGACCAGTAGGTGGCACACTTATCTCAAAACTGGAAATTCCAGACGAGTGATGCAGAATGGTGACGGGTCACTGTGTTGTATGAAAAGCTAATCCTTGGATGAAACTGTTCATAAGCTGCCAGATGTAAAACCTGGTGTCCCAACTAATTTCCCTTCTAAGTTTACATAGTCAATTACAATTTCTTAGTAGTTCAGGTGGGTAGCTGCGTGGGCTGCAAAGGAACAAGTAATAGGTTTATTCCATGCTGAAAAGAGAAGAAAGAAAACACAACGTTTCAGCTGTGGAGTCTTCTTCAGGTGTGACACCAGAAGAAGGCACCTGAAGAAGGCTCCACGCCCGAAACGTGTTTTCTTTCTTCTCTTTTCAGCATGGAATAAACCTTTTACTTGTTCCTTAAAATGTCTTAGTATTATTACATAGTGGACTACATTTAGATACAAAAGGCCTGTGCTGCAACAGCACTGGTATTTTCCCCATACCTCACAGGAGTGCTGGAAGGCTCGTTCACTTCTGTGGACAAAGAATAAGTGGTTTGTTTTCTCAAACAGTCTCTGAAACATTTTTTCAGTCCAAGCAAGTCTACAGAATAATGCTGTAATGCTATAACTGTAACTAAAATTAAATCAAATATTGGCCTATGTTTCTAATTAGGGAGTTGCATAACAGCTAGGCACCCACCCAAACTGCGAGCCTGTGGCATTGCAGACTTAACCTCCAATATTCTTCTTTCGATCTTAATACACCACGTCAGCTGTGAGAATTACTCCCTTATGACTTGCTTCTTTGAAAATATAATTTTTGTTTTTCCTGGAAATTCTGTGCATAGAAACCCTAGGGTTCTCAGCCTATTGTGATTATCCTGGTGTATCTGAATCACTTCTTTTGACTGGAGTGTTGTGCTGTGAAGTGGAGCAGGTGGACAGTGAGGTCATTTGTGTTGGGTCCAGTCTACAGGGACATGATTTTGGAAAGTACTTTAGTGTCCTGATTGGGTTTAATATATAGCGTTGTAATTTTAAGACCATCAAACCAGTTGGCTCGATGGCTTGGCTGAATTATAGCCTTCCCATTCACTAATGGAAGTCTGGGTTCTAAACCCCAATGAGCTTGGCAGCTTCACACTAGCCCCTACTGGCCATCATGTTCATTTTGCATTGGGTCCCCTTGGAGTGGGTTTTGATGTGAAAGACTGGGAATTGAAGTAACCAGCATGGCTGATCTTCTGGACCCCCTGTGAGGGTGTGTAGTGCTGTGTTTAAAGGGTGCTGTGGGACCCTTTAAAGGAAACACGTGCTAGACTGAAGTGTCAGAGCGATACTTTGTCATAGCAGAACATGAAGACTTAAAACCCCATCCGAAAAACTTTAAGAAAGACAAAGGATTTTTTTCCTGTGAAAGATTCAGAACATTTCACATTCGAAACATTTCAATTTTTTCAGAGCCAGTTCTATTTATAAAAATAAATGCTAAATTCTCACGATTGGATGGATGCCAGTTTTCCAAATTCACCAGTCATCTCCCTGCTGAGAAAAAAAACTGTTTCAATGAATAGGGATGCTGTATGGGATTGCAGATCCTTGCACTGTGAGAAGCCATGGTCAGTATATTATCTATACTTTTCTTCTGGCTATAATGGAGGGCTCTCTTCAGTAATGATTGTAAGTAAAAGGCTGGTCCTTGTTCAGGAAGTGGTGCCAGGACAGCTTAGCATTTTTTTTTATCCACCTTGTGCTATATTGTATCCAGCAGCACAGACGATAGAGGGAATTACGAAAAGAAAAATGATGCACACACAAAAACTGTTGATATGCTGTTCAATGAAAATCGGTAAAGAAAACAAAGTCAACTGGGCGTGCACTTATCAACGTTTACATGAGTCTTCAGCAGAAAACACTTTTGGCTAGACAAGGTTCTTAGTAAATAAGTATTCCTTAACTGTTGGCATTCCATGTGCAAGGAGGCCCTTTAAAAAAAAAGAAGCGATAAATACAATAACTGTCTAGTTAGGAACATAAAAATTCATGGCCAGACTGATATTAAAATTAGTGTATGAAGAAATCAAGTAAATACATATATATCTTTATATACACATTCAACAGTGTAATAATCTCTATATCAAAAATGAACCATGGATTTTAAAAAAGGCTTGGTAGGCACTTCTGTTTATAGCTTTAAAAATTAAATTCTGTGTTCAATCCAGAAGATCGTGAAGTATTAAGATAAGAAATTCTGAATGCCTCCCTCCATTTTAAAATTTTATGAAAACATTTTTTTTCTGCCTGTTTTCTTTCAGGTTCACTCTCTCAACATTTTAAGGGCTTTATTCAGGGACACGCGATTGAGCGAAAACATTGTCCCGTACGTGGCGGAAGGGGTGCAGGCTGCCATCCTCGGCTTCACATCTCCGGTCTGGGCTGTGAGTGTTCCCCTTATACATTCTCTGTGCATTACTGTCATCTTTATCAAACACACATGGGGACTGGAGCCCCTCCAAGCCCCACTGCATCATCCAGCAGCCTGGAACTGAGCGTCACCTCCCTTTCTTTCCACTTCGTACAGGAAGCACAAAACTCATACACTCAACACAGGGCTATAAAATATCAGGTCAGCGTTAGCGCATTTGTTGGATTAAAAAGAAGTCCTTAAAAAAAAAAAAGTGTCTGATTTCACACACTGTTAACACGTCTTTGTGTGTGAGGTCTAGGTTTCAGTCCTGCATTTGTGGGCCCAATCTTTGGAAAAAATGTTGATTATTAAGCAACATTAATCTGGCTGTCCGCTCTCTGGCCTCTGGTGTGAGAATGAGGGGGCTGATGTGTGGTAGGTGCTCAGGGGCAGCAGGTCCGGGCAGGGGAATTCCAAGCCTGGCAGCTTTGATCTGTTATTCAATACGGGTGCTGGGTTTCATAGCAGTCAGGCCACTGCTCAGCCCTAACAAGTTATAATACTGCTCCCATCCCAAGGGGCTCATACTGTATCATGCCTCCTTCTGGATCTGCTTGCGTGTGCTGCAAATTATAATGAGGCAGAGCTCAGGTAGTTAGTAGAGAAAGGTTTTCAGATCAAGGGCCTCACAGTGTGAATCAGTCCTGTTCTGCAATTTTTAACCAAGCATTCCCTTCGTTAATTGTTAATGCTCTAAACTCAGCACTAATGGACTGCGAGTGGCAGTGAATTGCTGTGAAGGGTCACAGGGATCTTCTTTGCTCATTATTTTTAAATATGGACACGTATCGCTAACCCAGCTGAAATGTGCCAGCTGGACAAGTATCCTTCACTGACATCACTGCAATTCTTCTGGGGCCCAGAATATCGCAAAATTCACCGCCAAAAAACCGAGAGAGTCCCTGGGTGTCAAATACCAACTTTACCCTGGATCTGAGCTAACTGTGCCCCACGCTTTGGGAAATCCTGTTCAAAGTCATATAGTTATGTGCCCCACGCTCGAACCTGTAACATCTGGA